ACTTAGTGTCAACATTTCAAGGTCTATTTCAGCAACTTTTATCTCTAGTTATGAAAATCATAGATACAAGGGTGCATGTTGACCACTCCCAAAAACTTGGGAGGCTCCTTTTATAAATTGTATTGTTCATTTAGTGATTAAAATATTTTTTTTCATGGTTTCTGTGAAACCCTACGTTCACAGAAAGTAATATAAAAAAAATGATATTTCAACACACATATCAAACTCACGTATACATGCAATCATTCAAGAATTTAGAACATGAGGTGACTTGTACTCTCCCACAAAATCAATAAAAACTTAGGAAAAAGGTGGGGTATGAAGCTCACCTTGGTTTAGTTTGCTGGAGATTGGAAGAAGTGTAAGGAATTTCCAAGTTCCAGCACTTGGAGGTGTTCTTTGAAGTTTAGAAAATCCTAAGAATAATTCTATGTGTAAATATAAGGAAGTCTTAGGAATAATATGAAGAATTGCTAATAAAAGAGGATGAACACTTACAAAAATTCTGGGAATTTTCCTTGAAGGGATGAAGTTTGAGTCTTGAAGGAGTTTCAGAGAATTCTTAGGAGTTTACTGGATGAGGAAGTGGGAAGTAGAATATGGGGGAAGGAGATTCACGTATTCTAAAGGGGAGGGATAAGGAGTGACTTGACATTTGCATGGAAAACTGATGTGTAAAACTTATTTCTAAGGGTAATGTGTATTTAACTGGGATTTGCATGGGAAAATGGAGGATTTAGCATCACATAATAAAGTCAAACCCCTTCTATCCTCTAAGAATCTCTTTAAAATATTGAATATTATTTCATATAAATATGTTTAAAATAATAAAATTTGTCATAAATTAGTGTTTTAAGGGGTCTAGGATAGGAAAAATATGAGTTTGGAGGTATTCCCGAAGCCAAAATGCCTTAAAATGATGAAATGTTGCGAAATGGTTAAAATCCGAAGTCAAGAAGTGAGTTTCGGAGCCATTTCAGAAGTTCTGAAGGTCTTCCAGAGTCATCCTCAAAATTCCAGAGTGAAGTATCAATTTCCGAGGCTCTCTCTGTAATTTCAGAGTCAAATGCGAGGTTTCGAAGGGCTTAGGAGAAGTTCTGGAGCCATTTGCTAAGGTCCGGAGTCACCAGGCGAAATCCGAAGCATTTCCTTCTTATCCGGAGTCAGGTACGAAGTCTGGAGGTCCGGTCCGAGTGTGAAGCTAGAAGATCCGAACCGAAGATTCTGAAGTGGGTCTATTCCGGAGTGAAGCAAGGAGGTCCGAAGCAAGGGTGTTTCCGAGAAGCAATTCCTATTGGCTCCTTAGAAGGGTTCCAGACCAAGAGGTTCAGGACCAAGAGGGTCCTGTTGGGGTTTCCTCTTCCGGTTTTGGGCTGTTTTCGACTGAGGAAGGTACATAGAGAGATTTCACATACTTGGAGAGATTTGGGAGAGATTTCACATACTTAGAGAGATCTGGGAGAGATTTCACATACTTAGAGAGATTTAGGAGAGATTTCACATACTTAGAGAGATTTGGGAGAGAGAGAAATATAATCGGAGAGATTGAGAGAGACTTTTCCAGGAGTCCTTATTAATGTTTTTCTTTGTAGAGTAAGGACTTTAGACTCAGTTACCTCTCATTTTGTGTGCTTTACACCCCCGAAGGGTACTTAATAGTGCTTTCTAAAGCTGTTACTTCCCCAAATCAAATTAGAGTGTTAAATTTTGAACATTTAGGACTTTCAAGTGCTACTTTGCATTAAGATTTATAGTTGTACATTAGTAAACATAAAGAGATCCCTAACACATAACACTAGTTGAGTTTACCAAGTTGACTTGTTGACCTTGACTCGGCTTTGACTTGACCAGAAGCTTGCCGGTTGTCACACATTTCCATTCTTTTTCCCTTCTTAATGCCCAAGGCATTTGGAAAATCATAAAAAGTAAATGTTATAGCGTATGTAATCAATCCTATATTTGAAGCATATAGGATTCGATACATAATGTCTTACATAAAAACATGATACTTGATCAGTATTTTGCTATAATATTTTCACATATAGAATTTCCTATGTTAAATCATTTCAATACCATATTCATATATGTTTATGACTAAGTTCCATTAAAATTTCAATCTAAACTTTTAGATTTGGAATGAAATATGAGTGCTCTCTCCCCTACAACTTTCTATAGCGAAACAATTTTCAAATATAACAATTTGCAAATCGAAAACTTTGTTTCCTATAAATAGCATTGCCAACTTGCAACACTTAGCATAAAAATCATGCTCCCACTAGCATAATAATTATACTCTTGCTAGCATAACAATTATGCTTCCACTAGCTTTGACATGTATTCAAAAATCAATTGGACTTTTAGAAATCAATACGATTGACTTTCTTACTAAAGTGCGGATTTCTGATACGTGATGCTTTGATAAATCTTCATCTAGACTTCTCAAGTTCATACACCTTTCATTAGATAGCGTGCATGTATGTTTAAACATTTTCAGAACTTATGACAATAATTGTTGAAGTTCAAACTATTTCTTGCCATTTCTCATAATTCGAACTATGAAAAGGAATGTCATAATCATATACGAATTAGAGTGAAGCATTTTGGCGCTTAGATTTTTTTTGTTGTATGTGTTCCCATTCATGTAAATTTATTAATTCCAACCTACAATCATAAAATAAGGTCGAGGACACACCAAAATCAAATTTAGTTTTCCTTTCATGGACCGAACTTTGTTTATTCTTAATTTCTTGTCTTCTGGTAGCACAAGGGCCTACCATGTCTTCAATGTTTTTTAGCAGCTCACTGATATTGATCAATGTACTATCACTGACCAACGTGCTCTGCCTTCTATAGTCAAATTAGGACTAGAGAACTCACATGCATAGTCAAGTTTACTGGAAGGTGCATAGAAACAAGAATGTATTAACTTTACACAATAGGTTATCAACCTTAAGTCATGCGTTAGTGATAACTAACAAGTTTATTCTTGATTGATACTTAAAACTATTCAAGATCAATAAGACTCCCTTTGACTTCTTTACTTATAAGTTTTTCTGTTAAGGAACATTCATTGACAAAAACAAACATTCAAAAGTTAGTGTGGATTCTTATCAAGACAACACTTCATTTAATTGGTACTAATTTATCTTTGTTTTAACCAAAGCATCACAAATACCAATTTCAAATGTTCTAGAGTAAGAAAACATATCTACTCCACATTTCATTAGGTGTTATAAACCTACTTAGTTTGAGATGCGATTCAAGGTTACGATTTGTAGTTAGCAGAGTGTGACTCTAAAACTTGATTTGGAAACGAAGTATGATTCATCTCATGATTAAACTATTTCACCAATTATAAATTCCTTTTCTTAGTCAAAAACAATTTCACTAAGACATGCTTAGAGGATCAATTGTGACATAGTTTCATAATCATTAAGATGATGATAAAATATGATACTAAAGTACTCTCATTTCCTTTTAGATTGGAGAAACCTTTATCTTTATGCCTAATAGATTCTCTATGTTCATCCTGCTATTCTTTGAAACTTTTCCAAGAATCAGAATTACACTTATAAGACTATGTTTGGCATACTAGCTGAAAAGCTAGCAGGTAGCTGAAAAGCTAGTTGTTCAATAAAAAGCTAGCTGGTAGCTGAAAAGCTAGCTGACAAAAAATAACGTTTGGTAAAACTAGCTGAAAAATATAAAATTACATAAAAAGACATGTAAGAGTATGTGTTTCTATAATTAATTAAGGGGTGTATTTGGAAATTTTTAAAAAAGCTCCTAAAAAGCTAGTCTAAGTAGCTTTTCAAAAAGCTGGCTTATAAGCTAGCTTATAAGCTACTTTTTGGCTTACCAAACACGACAACATAAAAAAGCTCGAAAAATAAGCTAGCTTATCAGCTAGCTGTGGCGCGCCAAACACAGCCTAAGTATAACCATATTTACTGAACCATCAGCGAATCATGATGAATAGATTTATCATCCTTTGTGGTGGATCTGATCAGTCCACATTAAGGTGTACTAGATCCAATAGTCCTTCACTTTGACTCACATAAACATGTGATTAACGAATTAGTTTTAATTTTCCAATGATCAAGATTCTCATACATCACACAATTCAAATTGTATGACTCTAAGTTTCTATTAAACTGAACCTTGGATGATGATAATTCATTTTCACTTGGTTGATTAAGACATTACCACAAATGACATAATCAAGAATCAATATATACTTAACATTGTTAATAATAGAAATATAACCACCAATTTTCATAAGTGTTATTGTAAGGAAATGTAAAGTAAATAAGATAAAACCAAAAATTCACTTTATTGATAAAATGCGTAAAATTTTATCCTTACAATGCGAATATATGAAAACTATGTATTTAGACATATTTCCTAAGCAATTTCTTAAACTATCAAAGCTCTTAAGCAGCAACTCCAAAAACCGATCCTCGAACCATGAAATTATTTTGGTGATTTTGACAAATTTTGGCCATTTTGGTCATTTTATACATGTTTTTACCATTTTTGTAATTTTGTCAAATTTTGACTATGTTGGTCATTCCTCGGACCACTTTACCTTGTAATTGATAAAAATAATTATATTTAACTGTTTGGGAATTTTGATAGATTTTAGGATATCAGGCCAAGTGGTTTCCATTAGTTTGAAGCAATTTATGGACCTCGCAGTCAATATAGACTTCAAAACATACACCTTTTTTTTTAAACGACGAATCTAACATACTCATAAACTACACCTTTAAATTCAGTTATGTCCACGACGGGACTTGAATCCTCAACCTCAATGAGGGAAAGCAACATCGGATACCGCTGGGCTAGAAGCCCTTTGGTTTAAGACATGCACCTATAGAAAGTATACCATGTGTACATGGAATTGGTGCATTGTCTTTATTTAAACCACAATGCAAATGAATATGTAGCTATAGTGAATATGTTTTTAAACGCATACAGGTAATGCAAATAATAAACGTGTACTTACATGTTGGGTCATTTAAATGCAATTAATAAGCTTGTATATACATGTTGTAGGTATGGATTGAAGCCAATGAATGGCATTTGATGTGGCCTACTACTTTACCTCCCAAATGCATACATTAAAAGGAAAAGACATCCATCTAAATCAGAAAATAGGCCAAAGATTACCTAAAAGGGAGTGCTTATGACTCGTAGCATTTGCAAAGCTAGGGGTGATAACAAATCAAGATGTCCACAAAAGGAAAAAGACCTATCCTACTACTGAAAAATATTTAGGTACTTCAAATGTCAAGACCAAAAAGAAGCTTAAACCTAGAAAGAAGAAGATTATGCAAGTTTTTCATATTTAGGCCAAAGTTTTTCATATTTACCTTTTGATAGCATTAATTTAGCTTAATGGTATTTTTAAAACAGTTTCCATAATTTGTTACTTTAAAAGAGTTGCTACACATCAAAATACATCATGTCTCATTCACCCTGTTGCACCAGGATTTTTTGTTATCGGTAAATCCCCATCGTAACTGCATCTCGGAATATCTGGATTTCTCACCACTCGTGGCCCTACTGGCACCTTCTTAGTCTTCGGACGAATATCCTGCAACAAATTCAAACAAGATCACTCCCTGTTTATGTCATTTCTACATGATTATTATCAGGTATGTCCAAGTTCTGATGCAAGTGAAGTACCTGATCAAAAATAGCAGTCGGAATCGCGAGAGTAGCAACAGCATTTGGAGCGTCCACAATTCCCGAAATCCTTCCTTCGCATGGACAACACGACAGTAGAAGATAAACCTAAAATCCACCATGAATTCAAATCGTCAATCAAATCATATCATCACAGTGTTTGCGATTATCTTCAAGGAATTTGAATTTCACCTGTTCTTTCGAGTACCCAAATTTGGAGAGATAATCGATTGCGTTCAGAACTGCACGCTTATAAGCAACACTCGCATCGAGGTAATGTTGTCTTCCACTTTCATCAACGCTTATTCCTTCAAATACAAGCCATTCTGAGAATCTAGGCTCCATTGGTCCGATCTCGAAAATAGGGTTTACATGAAGAGGAGTAGGCCCCATTGGAGTTAGGTATTCTTTCATCCCCCCTCGTATTATCTCACACCTAATAACCAGTTAAAATTAGAACAAAGTTTATCAATGGCGGTTTATGAGATTTGAGATAGATGATTGTACTTGAGCTCAAGGAATCCACTCATCTCAATTGCTCCACAAAACGAAACTTCACCATCGCCTTGTGAGAAATGCATATCACCTGTACTAAAGTTAGCACCTTCAACAAACACTGGAAGGTAAATTTTTGAACCTCTACTAAGATTCTTAATGTCACAGTTCCCGCCATTTTCTCTTCCTGGAATCGTTCTTGCAGCTTCATTGGCAATCTTCTCCCATTCTTGAGTTCCTTCTGGAATCTACAGGTCTGAACTAGTAAACATTTTCTCTACTCATAGTAGTGATTCATTACATTATATTACACTATTACAGTACCTTGCCAAGAAGACAGCCTTTTGTTGATGGGAGATTCGCCAATGGCCTTGAATGTAAAACTTCACATAACCTTAATGATTTTAGACCGTTTTCCTCAAGCTCTTTCTCCCTTTCGTTCCATATATTAAGAAGTTCCATTGAAGGTGCAGTTCCAATTATTCCAGGATGTGTTATACCCGGAAAACGTACACCAGGTATATGAGGAGAGTAAGCATATATTCCTTCAAAATACCAAATTGCTTTTGTGGCACAAGGGAAATGATCGGTGAGAAACCCGCCACCGTTTTCTCTGTCAAAAATCGCCGTAAACCCCCATTCATCGCCGGGAAGAGGACCTAAATTGCATATCTCAACCGCAAGAAGATCCCCTGGTTTAGCCGCTTCTCCTTCCTCATCAACAACCTTAATCGGCCCACTCAGATAATGCACCTGAAAATCAATTTTATTCTATCAAATCACATAGATATATACATACAGAATCTATGTCTATGAAATTAATAAATTATTATGATTCATACAGTTCCCGATAGTTGACTTATCGTCTAAATTAATTCCATACAAATTCTTTACACTTACAGTCGAAAGGTCTAAGTGTTTAACATCACTAGCGGAATTGTCATCTTTTACAGCACCTGCGGTCCAGTCCACCATCTCCACCCTGAAAACTTCTCCGGTGTTAACGGTGGCAACCGGTGGTATCTCAGGGTGCCAACGATTATGTAAGGGTAGCTTTTGCTCCCATGGCTTCTTTTTTAGATCAATAGGTACCACTAGTTTTGGTGTTCTAGGAGCCATAGATGAATTGTTTGTGAATTGTGACTATGTGTAATGTGTCTGTGTGTAAGTAAGAAACTAAAGAACTAAGAAGATATGATAATATGATAATAGACGTTGACTCCCTTTTGGGCTTAATTGTTAATTAGGTTATTGGGCCTAATTGTGATTGGTTGAAATTGAACGGATTTAAAAGCATGATAACTCACAACAGACTGATCGGAGTATTTGATGTCTTCGGCTGTGTATTCTTTGGTGATACCACCACCGGAAAAGTCGACCATTTCTACCCGGAAAACCTCCCCGACAGTGACCTGAGCCACCGGTGGTATGTCGGGGTGCCACCGGTTGTGAAGGGGGAGCTTCTGTTGTCGTGGTTTCTTGGTGACGTCAATTGGCACCACGAGTCTTGAACCATGTTGAGCCATTTGAGGATTAAACTAGTGAGAATGGTTGTCAATGTTTATTTGAGAGAAAGAAGGCATCTTGGAGTTGAAAACTATTTTGGCCATCGTTTTCAATTGGGGAGATCGTTGGCTGCCGTTAATTGATTGTAGTAGGAGTGGATGAATAGGAGAATTGATTGAGATGATGGACCATGTAATTATACAAGAAGATACTCTCAAATCAATAGTAGGAAAGTGGAAGCTAGACTTGGAAATAGTACTTTTACAAATGTAAGGTTGGATCAGTAAATATAGTTTAAGGAATGTACGATATTTGATTATTAGTGTATTATCAAGAAAAAAATACGAAGGGATAGTAATGGTGATTTTTATTTTTTTGTATTGGCGATCTTATTGTATTTGGAATTTATATAAACGACAAAATTGAGATAGGATACTGGCATCATCATCGTTTTCTAAAGCTACCAACCCAAAATCTATATGAGTTATAGGTACCCTAAAATATAATACATTATTGGGGATACTTGATAACCTAGTTTTTCCATTGTGTTCGTTTCATGGACTGAAAATTTATCGATGTCGAGTAGGTTAATGATTTGAACTTATCCTTCTATATACTTCTTCCAGGGAATTTGATGAACTTACCTTTGTGATGTAGTTCCATGAACGTTGTGAGATGGTCATCCATTAAGAACAAAAAGAAAAGGGTTTCAAAAAAAAAAAAAAAAAAATATATATATATATATATATATATATATATATATATATATATATATATATATATATATATATATTACTTTCTAACCATGTAAGTCATGAATGTATACAAAAAAGCAGAGACACGACTATATATGTATTCTTAGACTCGATGTATTGATTCAGAGACCTTAAACTCCACAGTGTCAACACCATTATCCTTTCACTAAATCTTGTTTGAAAGCTTGAATACCAATTGACTCGAAAGGTAGAAATGGTAACTAGGGCTCGAAACCGAAGGTGATGAAAAGAATGCGAATGAAAAATTAAGTGTCAACTGATTAATAGGGGCGATCAATTCAAAGGCATATGAGAGTAATGGTTTTAGGGATGTCAACTGATTAATCGTCGAGGATATGGAAGTTGACTTCGACATGACTGTTAGACAGAAAGTAGTTTTTGAGTGTCTTCGGGGCACCTCGTGTTCAAGATTTTTTGTTAACTATCCATATTGATGGCCTCGGCCAACATATGTCTCATATTGCATATCGAACTATCATTCGTCACCGCCTCATGATTCCTTAATTCCCAATTGACGAGACATGTCTAGTTTGTCGCAAGGCATGTTTGGACACTTTTGGGGAACACGCGATTCATTGTAGAAAGCTCCTCGATTTCAAGTACAGGCATGATATAGTTAGGGATGTTCTCTTTGATGCTAGTTTGTATGTTGGTATATCCGTGAAAAAATAAACACCAGTGAACTTTTTGACGGACTCGTTGGATGGAAGATCCACTCAGGTTGGCTGACATTTTGGTCTTTGGATGGGTAGACGCGAAGCACGCTTGTGTGGATCTTACTAGGTCTCCCCTATCATCGGTTTGAGGAGCAACGGTTTCACAGCAGGCCATGCTGCTTTGAAAGTCATTGTGTGCAAAGTGGCAAAGCACGAGAATGCATGCGTAGAAAATCAACACGTGTTTATACCTTTTGTCATTGATACATTTGGTTTTCTTGCACCAGAGGCGGTGGAGCTCCTCAATAGAGTCCAACGGATCATGCATTCTAATGTTATATCTTCTAGATCGGCAAATGTTGTTTTCAAAAGAATTAGTTTAAGAAATCTATAGAAAAGTCCCAAACTTTTGGGAAAATTTTCAATAAAGTCCTAAAAATTTATTTTTGAATAGAAAAGTCTTATTATTTTGAAAAAATCATATAATCTGTTATTTGTTGGTCAAAAATTAAAAGACTCTTTCCTTATTTGTGCAAAATATTAAATATTCGGGACTTTCTATTAAAAAAAGCTTTTAGGACTTTATTGAAATTTTTCTCAGAAGTTTGAAACTTTTCTGTAGATTTTCCAATTAGTTTTATCATCCAGAAATGGCTAGCGGCAGCTTGTTGTTTACCTTCCGTCGATATATATTAAATGCTGATATCAATAGATGAGAAAAATAAATTTACAAATTTTTTGAAATATATAATTGTCTCATGTAAATATCAAAAGATAGTTATAGACTTATAGTTATTTTTTGATAGAGCCCTTCCAAATTTTCTTATATATTGTTATGATTATTCCAAAATATGGTCATGGACCAATTCTTTTCATGGTGATTACAAAAGATGGTTGAATGGTATGTGGACTGTAGTGGGCTTGGCTTAAGAATCACAAAATAAAAAATAATGAAAAAAAAAGACTCTAATAAGGACAAAGTTGGCTTCATGGGATGTATAAAGTTACAATAATACCCTATAAGACGTCATGGCGTTTTGAGCGAGTGGAGGAAGAAGCAATGAGCGAAGGACAGGCGTGTGCCAAAATCTTTGAGTGTAGATTTATGAAAGCAGCTGGAAACCAACACCTTTGTAGTTTGTAGGGTATAGGATCTATGAAAATCACAAAAGTGGGACCCACAGATCGGAATGTACAGGATATTATATTTGATTTGCTACCATCTCGTAAAACAATCTTTCACCCAAATTGACTTCGGATCGTATTCGGATCCAGATCAGATAACCGAATTTGAATCGGATTCAAAATTAATTTTGGAAATAGGCTTGAGTTGGATCCAACGTGTTATCAACATCAAATTATATTTTGTGTACCAATTTGGGTACAAAGCTTGATTCAAACTTATTTCACAAAAATTATGTTATTAAATAGTAAAACAGTAATATGTAAAGTGATTTAAAAAATCAGTTTGGAAAACATAATCCAAACATTAATTAAAGCAAATATGTAACATTTTTTTTTACAAAAACCTAATATGTAAAGTGATAAAAAAAAAATCATGTATAATAAAAAGATGTAAAAATGGTAAAATCTTAAATGCATAAAAACAAAGATGTAAAATAGTTATAAAAAATCAATTATGTAAAAACGAATTCTTCAAAAGCAAAGTTGTAGAGAAAAATATAGAATAAGTTAGAAAACAAAATTTATTAAAAAAATATTGTTTTTAAAATATATTAAAAAAAAAAAAAAAAAAAAGCTTGGGAAAATTTATATATAAAAAAAAAAAAAGAATTAGACCAAATTTGTAAAAAGAAAAATGCTAATTCTGCCTAATTTGTTAATAGAGTAGAGTTGGATGGTTGAAAATTGGTCATAATCCAAAACAAAAAGACAGTTGATCCATATCCAGTTTAGATTTATGTAAAAAGATAAAGACAATAAAAATAAAATGATAACCTCCCTTGCATAAAAAACACTCTCAAATAAGGATCAAATTCGAACCTCCTCTATAGCAAAAACACTCTTAAATCACTAAAAAAACACAAAGTTGCAATTCATTTGTATTCAAATATTTCACTCATTAAATATAAGTAATAATATTGTAAAGGTTATATAATTATATATCATGGGCCTTGACAATGACCGTTATCGTAACCGGGCTCAACTGAACCGGGTACAAATAGTAGGACTGATAAGTGTATGTCCAAATATCCATGCCAAAAAATATCTGTTCCTTTGTAGACGATCACTGTTTTTTTCAAAAGGCAGAAGTTTTATTTATATTCTATATTTGTCTTATTCAAGTTTCCTTCGATGCACCAAATTAGCAAATAGTTGGTATGTTTGGATGACATGCCACCCATTAGAAAATAACCATTTATTTAATAATTGTGATCCTGAATATCAAACTTTTCTGTAATATAATTATCGTTATTTATTATTTTCTTCTACTTTGCCACCAATATGTCAAGTGGAAATGATGGATTAGTGACACTTTTTTTACTACTAACTATTGTTTTTCCTCATAGTATTTTTATATTCATTGAATTTCATGTATTGTGTTTTAGTCTATATAATATGATCTTGAAGGCCATGAGTTCAAAAAGCACCCCCCAAAAAAATATGCTAGAAAACAAAAGGATGCATTCGTAACTATACGGAAGGTATCAATAAAAGACAAATAAGTGTATTTTATTGACCGTGTTATTTTATTTTTTATGTAATTTTCTTGGGTTATGTACGGTTAATGTTATTATAAACATGTAGCAACTTGTTTTTTTTTTTTTTTTTTTTGTTTTTTTTAATACAAAAACTCTCGATTAAAAAACATGTTAAACATGTTATTAGAAGGTAAACTATGGAAACTTTGTGTTAATAAAATGTTATTGAAAAAATATTATTATTTTAATAATATTTTATGTATAAAAATAAAATAGTTTGTTATTCAATATCTTTTGGAACAATTGTGATAAGAAAAAGCGAAAAACAAATAGTTCCTTATCTCTTTATGTCATAACATGAGCTTTTTTGGAAATGTAAAGAACAATAATAATCAAACCAAAGAATGCTTTTTATCATTGGACTAAATTAATCTTAGATTTTGAGTCTATAACATCAAACAATAATATTCTATTAAATGCGTATGCGATCTTGTTGTATGTAAAAAAAATTAATTAAAAAAAAGTTTTTAGGTCAGGTTTTTTTGTTTGTGGCATGTTTTGTCTATAAAATGAGATATTTTAACAGTTTAATCTCGATTATTAGATATTAAATTTGTAATGTCTCCTTATTATCGCATATGTATTTTGTATGAATATAAGCAAGACATGTGTTGTAATATATTGTTTATATGTAATGTTATTGTTAAGTATTTTTTTAGTTTATTAATATTAGATTTGCTTCAAAATAGCAAGTTAGATAGAAAGTGAATTAGGTGTTGTTTGTTTTTCTGAAACTAAAATGTTTGTAGTTTGCGGATCACATCTACAACAGAAAAGGTAGACCAAACGTCTGCAGTCCGCAATAAAAAATAATTTTGTTTTTTAATGTCTGCATGCTGCTCAAATAAATTTAATTTTAAATAAATTAATTTTACAAACTTAAAATGGATTCTCAACACATACATTTATATTTCATGTAATAAACACAAGCAAAAAGTCATTTTCACCAAAAAAAAAACAACACATAAATAATGATTTTACATTTTCAAGCAAAAAAAAAAAAAAAAAAAAAAAAAAAAAAAACCGGAAATAAACACCATTATTTCATAATTTCAGCAATAAAAAAGCATATAAACATTATATTTCACATTTTCAACAAAAAAACAACATATGAACCTTATTATTTGACATTTTCAACACAAAACTGCACACAAACATTATTATTACAACAAAAAAAAGCACATAAAAATCAACATTTCAAATTTCCAGCAAGATACATCAAGAAATATTGTGTTTCAACAATTTTTAACATAAATTAAACAA